TTCTAGATTCTAGATCTAGATCTAGATCTAGTCTAGAATCTAGACAGTGGATCTATTCTATTCTAGATCTAGATCTAGATCTAAATCTAGATCTAGATATAGAATCTAGTCTATATGTCTAGAGCTATAATCTAGATTAGATTATCTAGTCTAGATCTAAATCTAGATCTAGATATAGAATCTAGTCTATATGTCTAGAGCTATAATCTAGACTTTTTTACTTTCTTCGACTTCGTCTCTCCATGTCAGGTTAGAGTTAGATCTAGTTTTTTTTTTAATTGATTAAAAGAAATGAACATTCTAAACTTACCCTTTTACTTAGCCTAATATTTTGGCCGGCACTATTTCTCCGAACGTTCGGGAAAATAAAGCTGGGCACTATTTCTCCGAACGTTCGGGAAAATTTTTTAAATAAAGCTGGGCACTATTTCTCCGAACACTCTGAAATCACATCCTTTCCCCCAAATTTCGGATATAATATAGAGTATAGACCTACCAAAGACTGTTCGTATACAATAATATGGTTCAATCGGTCCAAAAATGTCCACAGTAAATATTTATATAAAGAAATACTACAGTTCCAAACAGTTTTTCCCTACAGATATGACGTGTTGCCTTTGAAGGGTGCTGCTCTTAAACTTAATGTGTTGTGTTCACTCGTGTGCTGTCTAGATCTAGATCTAGGGAGGGTTATTGATAACAACGACACATAGAACTAGCTTCAGCGTTTGTCGCTGCCGCGACCAATCAATCGTGGCTCGATTTTTTGACATTTTTTGGTCGTGGAATAAAAGTCAAATTTAAAAGGAAAAAAAGAAAAAAAAAGAAAGAAACCGAACCTCTTTACTTTTGAAAGAAAGTTCCCTTAGCTTCACTTAGTCTCTTTCTCACTTGTTGTCACCACGTTGATTTGTTGAATACGTTACAGTTACTTTTATTTTTCCCTCTTTGACTCTTTGTGGTGTTTTATTTTGTTAGTGTGTAACTTTTTTTCTTGTTATTGTTCTGATGTGTTGTTTTTCTATCCATTTTTTTTTGTTGGGGAAAGGGGGGGGGGAGGGGGGACGTTGCATAGTGTAACGTCATTTAATTTGATGTTCCTAGTACCTACCTTCATTAGATTCTAAATATATATATATATACATGTATACATATAGATTTAAATGTTTTATATTAGAGCGTACGTTCCACCAAAACCGATTTATTATACTGACACTGGCAGGCCCCTTAATGTGTGTGATTCCATAATTTACATGTAATATCCTGTACTTTAAAAAAAAATAATTTACGCACTTTTATGGGTTCTAGGTTGACACATACCCTTATCTTTTAATTTTTGTGGTTGTTTATGGGCTTTATTTCAGCCTTTATTCAGTAACAGTTCAAAGTATACAAAAATATTTTTTTTAAACAGGATACATTCACTCCAATGCTCATGAGTCGTTCCTCTCTTTCAGTTTCACTCATTCATTCAATTCCCGTGTTCTCTCCCGCGGCTCATCCCCGTTATCATGACTTTCACACCCCACCCCCTCCCTCCAGGCACACACAAAGAAAATCTCACTCATTCCCTTGCTCCCTGCGAACCATGGACAATAATATAGGTAAAACACTGCCTTAGCAGCATTCCTTTCGTTCGTGAGCTGTGGACCAGGCCAGGGGGGTCGGTGTCGTCGTCTTGTAGTTGCTGTCGCCTGTGGATACACTCGTAAATTCTTCCTTTCACCCGCTCTGTCACTCACACTGTCTCTCCATCCACAACTCAGCTCGTTATACGTTCAAAAGTTGCCCACTGATCATGTTTAGTTAGTGTGTGTATAAGTTTGTGTGTGTATACATGTGCAGGATGGTGGTGGGTGTGTGGTGGGTGTTACTGACGGTTGTATGTAGGCGGGCTTGCCATGTGGTGTTCCTTCCCAGACCAGAGCCATAGGCAGAATGAAAGTTGGCGCCGAACTCTCGCAATAAATAGGCAAAAAAATCACGAGACCGGAAAC